TCACTCTTGTTGCAAGGGAAAAAACCGTAAGCCAAATTTGATTTGAGTAATTGAGAAGCACAATTTAGAATAGAAAACGCAACAACCAGATTTCAGATGAGACACGTACATTACATATAGTACAATGAGAAGAAATGTTTTGGATCACTGAGCATAGCAAGAACCAGGTCCCGAGGGCGGTCTTCTTGCGTAAAAGTTATCGACTGGAGCTGCTGGAACTCCGCGGTTATTCAGTAGACATCTAAAATAGTGTAGACGTGGCAATGCGGTTAACGTTATGTTCCCCTTTGACACGGCCTCTCTGGTGCTCCACATCCGTTCTGTTTCACCAACGATTTAGGAGAAAATAGAGTAGAGATGAGCAGTTAAACAAAACCAAACCAAATCCGAACTGAGAGCAGTTACCTGCAGCTGCTGCAGCACGCGGCCAAATGGTCTGAAGGACAACGGATGTATCAGCTGTTTCACCCCACATGCAAACTTCTCCTCCGATAACCAACTTTTGGAGAGAAGGATCCTCGATTCCATTTAGAGGCTCGGTGTTATAAACCTCGTCCCACGGCACATCTAGATGGTCGAGATACCAATATCCTTGGTTACTGAAAATGCACCTGAATCCTTTTGCTACTGCTTTTTGACATATATCAGACACTAGCCTGCAACGAGATTTAGAGAGCAGTTTTGACATGTATCATGAAAAAACTATGACAAGAGATGAACACTTCTGTTTTTCTATGGTACTGTATGATCTTACCAGTTTTGAATCACAGTCCGCGGATCAAGATCTTTTCCAAAGGAACTGAAGGTTTCTTCCCTGGGATCATACATAGTATTCTCAGTATTCGTGTCAATCTTTTGGTCTTCGAAGCAAAACAAAATAGAATTTGTTAAAGGTTGAACTGAATCCCTTTTTTCTATTTATCATATTTCTATAAGTTTGAATCAACCTTTGCAGCAGTTTGTTAAAGGAACTAGAGAACTTGACAGATAATGCAATTTCTCTCAAAAATTGTACCAGTTGACAGGTGTCCAATTTTTCGATATAGCTATCTGTTGCGCTCGGAGTACAAAGTATTTATATGCGTCCTTAGTAGTGAAGTTGCGACCCTGAAGCCTGCAGTTAAGAATAATGAACATATCAAGCAAAAGGAGAAAGTCAAATGTGATAAAGAAGCAAGAGTTTTAATATCAATTAACTAACTTAAACAGTATTAGCTCATATAGTGATCCATGAGATAACAGTGGGAGAGTCAGGACTGTACCATTCTTTAACATGAGTTGTGTTTTTCCAGCAATCTGCCAGACAAGAAACCGATCAGCGAAGAACATAAGAGAGGCAAAAACAAATAACTCAATGAAATGGAAGCAGGGATTTCAGGTGTTAAACAACTAACCTGTATTAACTTCATCACCACCCAAGTGGAAAAGCTCAAATGGAAATATCTTTCTCATATCTGTTACAAACCAAGATGGAAGAGAAAATATGAGAATCTAACCTAGACATACAGATAAATGTACACATAACATAATAATACACAAATTAAGATGCAAGACATTTCCTAATAACCTTTTCCCTCATCTCTATAAGCTTAACTCTTCTTTACAAGATTGAATACTAATTGGATTAGAATACTAGAAAAGGAGCAATGTTTCAAATGTGTACACTACTTAAAGTAGACCTGCCAAAATGCCAGAAATCACATCGAATGTAAAATTTTTAGTAACATCAAGGGGCTCTCGGCAAGACAGAGACGGCCAAAGATCAGGGTATCCAGTTCCCCTGCATTGAAAGCAAAACCATACGCTCAAAGACGACAGTTGTATCAGTAAACCAAGTGAAAACTATAAAATAGCCCAAAAAGCAACGACGAAGATAATGATAACTTAAACCCATACACCATAACTTCTTCTTAAGCTTTAGGAGTATAGTAACACAAAGTAGCTACATTTGTTTTTTCAAATCCTTAGAAACTTATGGTCCTATGCTACTGAGATATTACAATCTTGACTATAAACAGAGGAACATTAAGAGAGGAACAATATGAAAAGTTTAAAACAATTTCAAATTCTTAATATTCTTACCACGATTCCGCATGGCCAGGGACATCTACTTCAGCCATGACATTAATACCTGCAATCAATATCTCAACCATGAGAAGCTTAAACTATTCGGAGTTGCTTGACATAAAAATCATGTTGGGCTCCATGTTTAGTAAATAAGTACCTCTCATTTTGGCAAACCTTCACATTGGAAATCACAAACAGGCCATGAAACACAAAAAGGAAAAATAAAAAATCAAAACATATTAGTAAGTGGAAGAATAGTTGATATAACCATTTACTCAAATGATCAAATATGCATGGAGGGTTGGAATAAATAAGCTACTTCTTTAACATACAAAACTACAAGCCATTACCTGACAATCTCAGAGGCATCTTCAACTGTGTAACGTTCCCATCTCGAATAAGCTCCTTTCCACAAATTAGGATATGTAGGAGTTTCAAAAGGAAATGATTGCTCGTCTACAATGTGCCAATGCAGGACATTCTACCTCACATAACCGCCCAAGGGGAAATAGAAGGCAAGAAACTGGATATCAGATAAATCTTGAAAGAAAGTTCAACTTTGTGTATCCTCAAAAAACAAGCATGATTCCTTACAAGTTTGGCAAAGGACATGGATTCGATTATTTGCTTAATGACATCCATTGGCAAAAAATGTCTTGATGTATCTGCAAATGGAATAAGTAGTAAATACCGGCCAGCATTTGATTACATTTTCTTTCCATGTGATGGAAATGAAAGCAAATGAGAGAAAGAGATATGGACTTATTACCTATTAGCAGACCGCGGTATCCGAATCTAGGTTTATCTTGAATATACCAGGGTGCTTTATATATTTGCACAGATTTGGTTAGATAATCAAAGGCACACAATTGGCTAAATGTCTGCAAAAAGTTTTTCAGAAACGAACACAGATTAGCAAAGATTCCATAACACTCAACGAGAACTACAACTCGAAATTCTGATGAAACAATTCAAGGCTCACGAATCATGATCAAATTAACAGAATGACAACATAGTCTCAATAGGAAGAAAAGCTGTGAAAAGACAAGTAAAACTGGGAAAGATAACCTATTTCACTAGGCATCTAAGATGATCACATTAGGCCACTTTAACTCCTAAGGACTAGAAATGAAGAAAATCAACACTAAACATCTCTCACCCATTTAAAGGAAAGTTCACACCGAGCCACAAAATGGAGTATAAAAATGTTTAAAATCCAAGAACAATCATCTGCAATTCCGCTGATTCTTATCAAAGAACTTCACACCGAGCCACAAAATGGAGCATAATATACTCATAACTTACACACCTCCAATCCTCTAAGTGCACCATAAACTGTATTAGCCTGAAACCACAAGAAACAAATAAGATTATACAGACACATTCCTCATATGAAGAAGCTATAGTAGCAGAAGCAAAACCTCGATGGTGGCTGCTCCAACAATCGATTGCTCGTTCTTCTTCGACACCATCAATGTATAACTCTCATCCACACCCAATTGAAGCTGAAAGTGAACAGAAAACAAACCAATTTAACTATTTGCCGTTATCAGCTCCCAAAAGATTAAAACTTTCCAATTAAAGGAACCAAAGTTTTGTTTTTTACCTCCTCAGAATCAGAGTGAACAACGATCTTCAAAGAAGTGATATCATACTCAACCATTCTCAGAAATCTAATTCTCGCCAATAGAGAAGCTCTACCAGAAGCGTGTTTAAAGGTTATACCCATATACCTATCAAACGCAGCTCTAACAATCGGAGATCCACCGCCGTTTCCAGCTATGATTAGAGTCAATGCCGGATCCACCGAGAGTGTCTCGTTTCCGAACGAAAACTCCGCCGGCAACGGCCATAGATAAGGAGGAGAATCAGCCGGCGACGGAGTTGACAGAGATGAAGTGATAGATAAAGAGATGAATATCATCAATAGGAAAAGAAGACGAAGAAGATTCGGTGACATTTTCGAAAAGAGTGTTTGGTCAACGGAGGATTGTTCTTGTCACATAAAGAAGATAGAACTTTTTTTTAGTCGAAAGATTCAATTTTTATTTATTACACGAACAACCACTTTAGTTAGTAGTACCATGTTTCGGTTAGTTCGGTGGAAACATAAAAGGTCTTGCACGTTTATCTCTTGATTCCAACGAATTCAAAGTCTTTTGTGTTCTGATTAGTATCAGAATGTGCATTGATTGATACATTACCATGATAACTTTCATTAGCAAGAGCTGATTTGAATCGAATCAGTTATGAGAGATGCTTCTAGTTGAAAAGGTGTTTTTATAAAAGTCTGATCGAACTGATAAAGGGCCGAAGAACCTACAAAGCCCATTTTACGAAGTCCGTTGGATATATTTGTCATCTTTTCACCCAAACCAGTTAATTGTGTTTTTTTTTGTAAACAAAATAAAATCATAGGTCTTTTACCTAATTTAATAAAAACATTGAGGCTATTTTTATAAAATACTCTTTAATAAAAGTGAGCGACTGTCAGCGAAACATCATAATAACTTTTTATGTTTTTTGTATGCAAAACTTTCTAAACTTACAAAATAAGACTCGAATCTTTTAAATGATTAACAGTCAAAGTCATCAAAAAGATTAAAATTTGTTACATTCAAAAAGATAAACTTATTTCCAAAATATTGTAAATCATAATATATAAGACATACTTCGAATTATATTTCTTACGAAAAATATATATTATATAATTCTTATTTTAAAACTAATAAATTTATAACTCCAAAGAAAAACAATAAAATGTTTTACATTAATGGTTACATCTTTGAATACTAACATAAACTAAATACATGCATTCAACGTTACATGAATGTTTAGTTTCCTTAACTCTTAAATATATTGACATTTTCTTATATCTATAAATAGGGAACTTATAAGTTTTATCTAACCACTCCTACATTATTTACCCAACCATGGCTTTCACTAATAAACCTCATTTTATATTGATGTTTATGATCTCTTTTATTCTTATTCTTTTTGTGTCTGCATTAGATTTGTCAAATGCTCCAGCAGAAGCCCCAACTTCGGACGGCGACGGCTTGTTACCTTTAGCCGGAAAACATGTTGTAATCCACAACAAAGTAAAAAACAGACAAATCTTGAATGTACATTGCAGATCTAGTGAGGATGATTTTGGGATGGTCCATATTCCATGGAATGGTACATGGGATTTCAGATTTCATGTTAACTTTTCGAAAACGACAAAATTTCGTTGTCATTTTACATGGTATAGAGGCGGATCTCATTATTTTTATATTTTTAAAGTATCAAGAGATGATAGTCCATTTGGACATTTTCCAGTTTGTAAAGAATGTATATGGGAAGTGGGAAAAGATGATGAAAACCCTATTTGTCGTATTGTTCGTGAAAAGGGATACTTGCCCTGGTGTTTTAAATGGGAAGATGGTCCTTAAGATAAAGAGAAAAGTTATTGTTATCACCATATTTTATCAAGTATATGTAACCATCAAAATGATTGAATAAATATAATACCATTTATAATGTTCGAATGTTTGAATGCTTTAGCTTAGAAGCTTTCTTTATTTGAAGTTTTTATATTTTCACATAATCAAACTAAGTTTTTTTAGATGGAATATTATACATTATATTTTTGATAAAATCTTATTGTATAGAGCCATATAACTCCTACGTTTCTCTCGCTTACGTTGTGAACATACATTACTAATCAACACTCCTGATTCTGCATCATAAGGTTGTACTAAGTTTTCATGATGTGCTTAGAAAAGATTGTAATGTCTCGTTTTCCAAAACGAAGAGACCTAACGTACGTATAGCGAGTCTTTTGAGATGTCACGTGAAATGGCCTTTAAAATTTGATGGTATACGTTGGTCCATTTCTCAGAACATAAGTTCCTTTAAAATCGTATTAAATCTTGAACGTTTATCTCCTGCTTGTACTAGCTTGATTGTAATGGAATCAAAGTCTTCCGTGTTCTTTGACTAGTATCAGAACAAGCATTGATTGATACAGTACCACGATAACCCTCATTAGAGCTGGTTTGATATTCTCATTAGGGATTGGAGAATCCACCATGCATGTCCATTATCCCAAAAGATGCATGTCTCAGTCGCTACATATTAGAAAGATCGTACCGACGAATTCACTGGTAAAGGAAGACATAGTTTCGAAGGATTGATCAAGCAGTTAGAAACTTCTCTGAAAAACGAAGAGCAGCTTAGTTTCTATGAGAAATTAGAAGTTATGAGAGATGCTTCTGGTTGAAAGGGTAGTTTCTATATAAAAGTCTAATCGAACTATATAAAAGAAAGGGTCGAAGATCCTTCAAAGCCCATTATTGTCTGTGTCGGTACCTCGTAAGCCCACTTGGGTGGCCCATTTCTTCTTGGATCCACTCTATATTGAAGTGAAGTCTGTTCCATTCAACATTAAAAATATATTTGCCTTTTCACCCAAACCAGTTTTTCTTGTTTGGTCAAGTTTCACCCAAACCGGTTAAGTGTATTATTTTTTTTTTTTGTTGGGTTAGGTGTATTTTATAAACAAAACTTCGTTTACGTAATTTATAAAATTTATGGCTATTTATAAAATACTCTTTCAACTTTATAAATCGTTGCAAAATTGGAGGAAACTTGAATATAAATATTAAAATATATCTTGTTTAGTATTAGTACATGTTTTTTTTTTTTTTTTGATAGATAGGTACATGATGTTTAGTCAAAACTTCCTTCGTTTATGCGCAGATCGTATAAAAGTGAGTGATTGGTGGACGTAACGTATAATATTTTTCTATTGGTTGCAAAGAAAAATTTCTTAAGTCTAAAAACTTACAAAATAAAAGGCTTTGGATTTTAATAGTTTTACAAAGTCAAAGCCAGGATCAAAAAGATTAATTTATCTTTTCGACAGTCAAAAAGATTGATTTATTTCCATGTATTGTAAATTATAATATATAAGACATATTCCGAATCATATTTCTTATCAAAAATGATATATAATTCATATTATATACTCCCAAGGAAACAATATAAACTTATGCATGAATCTATAGCTTTGAATGCTAACATAGACGAAATACATGCATTCAACGTTACATGAATGTGTAGTCACTCTCGCTCTCAAATATATATATTTACACTTTGTTACACCTATAAATAGGGAACTTATAAGTTCTATCTAACTACTCTTACATAATTTACCTAGCTATGGCTTTCACAAATAAATCTCATTTTATAATGTTGTTTATAATCTCTTCTACTCTTATTCTCTTTGTGTCTGCATTAGATTTTTCTAATGCTCCAGCAGAAGCACCAGGCTCGGACGACGACGGCTTGTTACCTCTAGCCGAAAAACATGTTGTAATTCGCAACAAGGTAAAAAACAGAGAAATATTGAATGTACATTGCAAATCTAGTGAAGATGATTTTGGGATTATCCATCTTCCTTGGAATGGTACATGGGGTTTCAGATTTCATGTTAACATTTGGAAAAATACGAAATTTCGTTGTCATTTTACATGGCATAAAGGCGGATCTCATTATTTTTATATATTTAAAGTATCAAGAGATGATAGTGCATTTGGACAAATTCCAGTTTGTAAAGAATGTATATGGGAAGTGGGAAAAGATGATGAAAACCCTATTTGTCGTATTCCTCGTGAGAAGGAAAACAATTCATACTGTTTCAAATGGGAGGATGGTCCTTAAGAAAGAAAAAAAAAATTATTGTTATCACTATATCTTATCAAATAAATGTAACCATCAAAATTGATTGAAAAAATATAATACCATTTATAATGTTGGAATGTTTGAATGTTTAGAAGCTTTCTTTATTTGAAGTTTTTACATATCCACAGAAGCAAACTAATCTTTTTTCTTAGATGGATTATATTATTTTTCTCTTACATAAACATCCTGTTGAAAACTAAGCTTCTAACTCTATTACCTATAGTTTCGACTGTTGTTACTATTTAGTACAGCTAATTCAGCCCTACCAAATGGCAAACACCATCTAAGAAACTTAATGAGCCAATGAATGAATCAATCCAAGTTCTCAAAAGATATGATTTGAAAGAACCACATCCGAAGCCTATGTATGCAGTAACAACTACTTGTTAATAAACTATTGATCTCCTAGAACATCAAATCAAAGGACTTTCTTGAGTCAAATATTATCATGCATGGACTACTTTAATTTATGAACATAGAATCAAAACATGAATATACTTAAGTTATTGCATTTTTTTATAATCCGGACTGAAAAAAGAAACATGTTTGGCCATCTCAACCTCTATTGTTAAGATTCTATGTTTTGTTGTTGAAGGAACTCAAGATCCTTCATCTGCATTTGAATAGCTTCTTTGGGCAACCGTTTCGCCATGACATTCTCTTCTTCTCCTCCTTCTGCAACCCTTGTCGCCTTCTCTTTGATGATTCTCTCTATCTCAGACTTCTCAACCGATGGGAAAACCGCGATTAGCATCACTTGAAGAAGCTTCTCATCCTCCTCTTCGATAAGTCCTCTCCGAAAGCAACAAGCATAAATACCTTCAAGAGCCTTTTCGACTCTTAGTTCCATCGGTATTATTGGCGCATCAATGTTCAACTTTGCCCTTCTCTGCATAACCGAAAAAAGTATCAACCCTCTCTGAATTACCAAATACCCGATTTCGACTACTAAAACTCATTAGCATAGTACAAAAGAAACCTAAAACACACATAGGAAACAGAACAAACCTGTCTAGCTTCAGTCATCAAAGCAATGAAGTTCTGTTCTTCAAACTCGAGATCATTGGAAATGCTAACTCTGGTAACACCTTCAAGAATCTCTTCAGATTTGAGAAGCCCTGCACCAACTGCAGCAACCCAACAACACAGAAGTACATACAAAGGTTCTCCTGCCTAACCAAAACAGAGCAACAACAACAAGGCCACTTAAACACTGATCACACATTAACAAAACCCAACAATTCAAATCATATAATTCGATTGAATTTCATGAATGTAAGCTCAATTCCCGCAAAATCGATAGCGAAAAAACCCGAAATTTACCTTGCCTCGTCGCTGTTGGAACTCATAGAAAGCCCTAGAATCATCAGGAGTACATTTATTCCCAACTCGTTTCCTAAACTCAGCAAAATCGACGAGATCTCTTCCAACGCCACCTTCATCGCTGAGAATCCGAGCGAGGAGTCCGATAACCGGAAGCGAACCGATGACTTTGTTAGCGAAGGTGGAGAAGGAGTTAGGTTTCTCTATGTAAGCTCGAATTGACAAAGCGAAACCACCGTATCCTCCGCCGCGTTTGGGAAGGGACGAGGCGGGATTGCGAAGACGGAGATGGAAGAAGGAAGGAGAGATTTGGTGGAAGGAAGTGGAGATGTGAGTGACAACCACCATGGCTGTGAAATATGGAAGCTTCTCTTCTTTAAGCTGTTTGGATAAATCTCATCTTTATATACGTTATCTTCTCCATTCAATATTATTAATGTTTTTTAAATTCTTCCATAATTTTTAGTTTAATAGTGAAGTGAAAAATTAGCCACAATATTCATATGTATTTTTCTTCATTTACCTTTGTGGATTAGAAAATAATCTATGAAGATTCAAAATTAAAATTGTTATTAGAAAATACTCTTGGTTAGCAAATTACTATAGTTTTTAAGTATTCAGGATTTCAGACAAGAACAAATACTAGATAATAAATTAATAATGCCAGCAGAATTGGGAACAAAAAAAATAAGAGTTATTATTAGTCCTTTTCACCAAAAGACTCATACTGGGCTTTCTTATAGGCCTACGACCATTGCATAAAGCCCATATTCGAATAATGTCGGAAAAAAACTTAGAATAGGGATAAAACTTATAAGAGAGGACTATAGAGCGTAAATTATTTAGCAATCAAAGCATTTTAAAAGTTAATTAGAGTATCTAATTTTATAATGAAAAAGTGAAGATGATCTTAACTATAATGTATCAACGACGTCAAATGTTTTTTTTATTTTCTTCTATAGGTACAGTAGATGAGGACGTTTTATTCGTATGATGAATGTCTGTATGACCATGAATGAGTCGAGCACTGATGATACATGTTAAATTTTGGTGATAAATATAATCTTTTGTAAATTTAGCAGTAAACGATATTTGTATCTTATAGATAGCCAAAACTTTATACATATCTAGGAAATAGTTTGATTTTTCTTAGGCAATTGTATACATCTATTTGATTATTTAAGAAATTGAATACCACACAAAAGTATGTATTAACCGCATAACGAAAATGTGGAGGATAATATAAATTGCATTAACAGAATTCATCATATTCTACTATGAGAAGACTTGGAATGATAATTTCATCGGTATAAAACAACGTGTGAATACTTCAAATTCGCTGCATATAAGAAGCGTTGAAACGTCCAAATATTTAGTCCAAAGTCGTTACATGAGCTGATATCAACTGGTAATTTTAGTTGAAAGTTTAAACTTCTTCACTGTGTCTCGCTAATCATGAGACAAGAAAATAATCAGTTTTCAGCTTGTTCCGTAGCTTGAACCATTTGTGTATAGTACATCATGGTGGGTTTTTTGTTGATTGGTACGTTCAACCAAACTTGAGCGTTTTAATAAAACATTTGAGTATATGCTAATTTGAGCAAAAAAGTCTCATTTAATCGGTTGATACAAAGTAATTACAACGAAACTATCTTGTCCAATCGTGATCTAACTGGGCCAACCACCTAGCTCAGATTTATTAGACAGAAAAATAAAATAAAATCAAGACACCTTAAAAGCTAAAGTTTCATAATTCAATACGTAGCTAGATGCCCCTATTAACATCATTACGTCTCTGATCACTTGTTTTGGCTCAAGGGAAAAAATACAAAAAACATATCCCGTTATGCTGACACGGCATGATCTCATTGGATAACAGAAAATTCAATCACATCGTACACTTTAACCCGAAAATTTAAAGAAAAATATATTTGAGCAATTTGGCTTTAGAGAAAAGGAAAAATCAAGTGGAGTGGGTGTGGTCAATAGAATCTCCACTTGTCCATGGGACAAATTTGGGTTTGCTTTTTGAGAGCCTTTTGGTTTGAAAATCGAGTTAAGGCAATAATTAAATAGTGAGTCTACTGCACCACCTTTGTCTCTTTTTGCACTGTCTCGTCTTTCTGCTGTCTCGTCTTCTGTGATATTATTTCGTACCTCTTAATGACTTACTATAGCATTAATCAGAAACCCCACCAAAGTTTCATTCTTGAGAACAATCGAACGATAGAGATTCAAAATGGGTAGGGGATTCAATAATTCCTGATGGCTTTGTCAATTGGGACAAAAATGTCATCCAAAATATGGAATAATCATGGATATAGTCTTTTGGTATATTTATGAATATATAGTTTTGTAATTGAACAACCAGATTTCACATATTTGACGCCCGTATTTAATAGCTGATATAGAAACAAAGAAAATAGACATATATGAATTGATATGACTCAGTTTCTACGCCCAAAAGATGCCAAGCATAACCACGGAAAGAAGTCAATTAGAGTGGTTATGATTTGCCTTTTTATTTGGTATAAAAGTTATAAACAGAAAGTTCATATTTAACTGATGAATGCGCTTTAGAAGTAAAATCCAATATATGCATCTGAGATTATCTCTAGGTCAAAAGAATATAAGTATATATGAACACAAAGAAAAGAGAACAATGAACACACAGAAGAAAGGAGAGTTATAAATAGAGTAAAATCTTTGTTGTTCAAAAAAATAAAAAATAATAAAAGAGTAAAATCCGTAGTAATTTTTGGAAACACAAGAAGATAGTTACAATTTCTTGTAATACATAAAGCGTTTTCAAGTTCGTTATAAACAAAATACATTGGTTATAACTACAGATTCAGTCATACGGATTCGAATGAAAAATGATAGCATGATCTTAAGAGTTGGATAAGGAAGTATCTTAGGTAAATGAATAAGTGGATGAGAGAGAATAGGCGTCTTGGTTTGTAATCGTATTGACGAGGAGAGGGAATATAATGAGAGAGAAAGTGATGAATAGGGTTTTAATTTGATTCGAGGGAATAGTTGCTGTTTCAGGACTCAAATTGAGAGGTCCACATGATGAGGAATATGCATGTTTAGTTTTATTTAATGTCTGAATTTGATGGATCTTCTGAAACCTTTGATTTCGACAAAACACCCCCAATGTGTTTGTCTCTCACTTCTTTACGTAACCTTTGTAGATTCTCTCACTCCCTCTCATGTCCATTTGCGCCATGTCACTCAGATGGTTGTACCATTTGCGATTATTTGATCTCAATGTAGATTGTTATGCGTGACGTGTCATCGTCCTATTGGTCTAGAATCAAAAACTTTAATCTCCCGCGTCCCCTTACCCAACCAAAAAACTATTGATCACTGCGCTATTTTTTGGCCGTCCATTATCGTAACGTATACTACACATGTCATGGTGGTACGATAACCCAAATTAATATTTTTGGAGTCAATTACGTAGATGATTAAATTATGAATAGTATCTAGACGAGATCGACGACATTTGGTTGGTATCATTAACTTTTTTTCGGGGGTTTGTGTCATTAGTAAATCCCGAAAAAATGAAAAGAAAAATGAAAGAAAAACGAGCTAAGTTAATCATTAGACAGAAATTTCAATAGTACTATTGTAACTTCAAACCCAGAGAAAAATAATTCAATAGTGTTCAATAGTACTATTGTAACTTCAAATTAAACCCAAAGTAAAATAATTCAATAGTGTCACTAACGTTAGATATATGCAATGTTTTTGTTGATAGTAATTAGATCTGATGTTATCCGCTAATTTCTATCAATATTATCAATTACATATGATCGATTGAGTAAAATTTTGTTTTTATGCTACATCATGAGTATTTTATGGGTTTCTTTTACGGACCTTAGTTATATATATACCTCGTCATTTTATAGTTTATCGATCATATATATATATAAACATGTTAAAATGCATGGTTAGGACTTAGGAGGAGGATCATACACAACTGACTAACTGTTATAATTCAGTAGCAAACATTTATCTATAACATGTCGTGTAAACTACGTTGGTTTTTAATTTTTAATATCCAAAGTCCAAACTACGACAGAGGTTTACTAATGTCGTGTAAACTACGTTGGATTATCTCATACTCATAATAGTTACAACTACTATAGTATATGTGATTCCGTATTTAAACAAGTTCATCACTTTAACAACAAAGAACAGGTTCATTCCTCTCTCTTGCCTCAACTTAAGAGTAAACGTACCGGTGTTCAGGGGCGGCCTAAGCCTCTAAGGACCTATTATATGTCTTATGATATTTCAATTATCAAATTGATGGTCGCATAACGATAGTCATAGTGAAAGGTATAACAATTTCCTTTCCTTTATCGATGGAAAGCCTTAGCAAAAGTGTTAAGACCTATGACTATTTGCCTTATATATTTAACACTATGGTTATTTTTTTCGAAAAGATTCGCTTAGTTACAATTGCTGAAGTCATTTTTTTATTTATCACTTCTTTGAAATTCCGTATTAATTTTTTGTTTATTCCGTTTACTTAATCATGCTTTTAGAGCCAATACAACCTTTATAAAGTTCATTTTCTTATATAAGTTTAAACATTAACAAAAAGGTATATATATCTAGAAGATTATGGAAATTAAAACACGACTAAGTGTTTTTTTGCAGAAAATGTATAGAGAGAGGGGGCCATGGATCACGTGGAGGATGCGTGAGATGGAAATGAAAAAACGAAGGGAGAAGAGAGAAAGAGTGATTTTACATATCTCCTCTAATCCTTTCTCAGCCAATTATGATCAATCTCCCACGTGGGGCTTCTGGCCCCATGCATGCATATCATCTTTCAACTATTCACTCTTTTGTCTCCTTCTTCATCTTTTTGCGTGATCTTCTTCTATATATGGCTGTCTTTATCTCCACAAGTGGCTTTTAGAAAGAAGACTCTCTTCTAAGTTTGGGTGTTAATTCTAGGGTTTCCATTAACAATGGCTGATTCCTCTTCTGCTTCTTACATTCACATGGTAATATTATATTTGATTCAAGAATCCATGTACTTCTCCGGCCATCGTTTCGATGAATGAATTTCTCTATTTAATCTACTATACGTATGTACCTCAATATCTTTGGATGTGTGTATGTATGTATAGGTGCAGCACATGATAGAGAAATGTTTGATCTTCCATATGAGCAAAGAAGAGTGTGTGGAAGCTCTCTCTAAGCATGCAAACATCACTCCTGTCATCACCTCTACTGGTTTTAATTCCCCTCTCTCTCCTCTTTTTTTATACTTTTTTACCTTTCAATAATCCTTATATATACACACATATACATATACATATATGTTCTAACGGGATTATATGTATAAATTATGGACATGTATACATATATCATCATGTTATGATACCATCATTAAGAATTTGATCTTGTCGACATATATGTACCTAGCTAAACATATGATCTAGCATGATCCATCGATCTTGGATATTTCTATTCATATAAGTGCTCATGCATAATCTAACGATTATATATAGTACTGCCTTGAATGGGGGCTAGGACTTTTATACAAAAGGCATAAAAATAAAAACTATATATTTTTTTAAAACTAAATCTTCCTTACAACATATATCTGGCCGATCAATTTTGTTAGTTCTAGATCTGTTTTCTTTTTTTTTGGTTATCATAATGAATTGGCACCAACAAAAAAAATGACAGTATGGAAGGAGCTGGAGAAAGAGAACAAGGAATTCTTCAAGGCGTATGAGGAGAGGCAAAGCAAACAAGAGCAAATGTCGGAGGAAGAGACAAACCAGATGATCCAGAAGATTATCTCGGATTCATCTAAAGAATCCGACGACTGATCGCGATGTTCGTTAGATCTTTAAAACCTTATAGTTTATATATATAAATCTCATGAAAACGATTTATCCCTGACGCATGCATGTTTATATGTAAATCGTTTTTTTTCATCTCTTGGCATCGGTCCAACAAGAAAGACAGCAAAAAAAGGGTGATGACACTCCTTTTGGTACGTTATACGTACGTGGTCCACATAATACTGCCTCTGTATAATTAATATATAATGAAAGGACCCTCACAAATCGATCGATGGTGTGGCGTTTTAATTGAATGTATCATGTGTATATATCTTCAAATAAACTATTTATCTCTGGTCTTGGTCACCTTAAAATTAAGGCTATAGCACTCTTGGAAATTAATTATCATGGTTTCCATATGGCTGCAAATTTAGGCACCTAGGTGAGTAGGTGACCAAAACCACCCAGAAGTCAGGAGTTTAACCAAATCGGTAACAAAGTTTATCGGCCAAATTTTGTTCCATGCGGCTAATTCTTTTGTTTTTACTGGGTCTATGCAGCCATTTTTTTGTTTCTAATAGAAAATTATTTTTACAATTGGTTACATTAATTAAATAAAACAATGATACGGAGACAAAGGCCTTGAACAATTTCCAATTAATCTCCGATTTGAACATTGTTTACCAAATGCAGAAATATTTTTTGGGGGTCAAAGTACATAAGAAAACTGACTGACTTACTCACAAGAATATTAACACGTTTACTTTCCAACTCCTATGTAATTTGTCTTTCTTTTGTTGGTAAGTAATTAACCACAACTTTGTAAAAGAAGAATTCTGAAAAGGATTATTCTTACATTTGTTTGATATGATGTGAGAGCTTATAAAACCCAAACGAATACTTGTTAAAAATGGAATTTCGTGAGTATAAGTTGTATAACAAATGAAGAAGTAGACGAGTTGAAATGCACAAAGTATTTGCCAAAAAAAAAGGAGTTTCTGAATATAAAGACAAAGATTCTCATTTAACTTTTTAAATACAGTAAACGTGCACAACACAATAAAGGCCACACATCAAGCTAGTAAACAAGAACATACATATGAAACAGAGGAATTTTTTAACAACAAATGCCATTACTCTTCAAGCTTTGTAGTAGGTAAGATAAACACTGAAATGGAGAATGGTATCATGGACCATCAGTAACATGTTGGTCTTCCTGGTTGTGTAGAGTCTCCACGACAGCATACCCTTTAGCATGCTCGAATCTGCCAGTCCCACCCACAACAGCGATATGCGAGGCATGAGAAGCGGTTCGGTGAACCCCGAAGAAGCTGATCGCATCATCAAGGGTGTCATGGTGATCATGCTCTTCGTGGAGCAACACGGTTAAGGAAAGGGTCTGGCTAGTTCCGTCCAAAGAGCTAGCGAGGTAAAACCCTTGGGCTCTGCCAATGATTGCAGAGCCCAACTCATGGCCTTCAGTGAGCTCATCGTCAACCACTGTGATAGAGCCAAACATGAGCTGTTGGAGGGCAGCTATAGGAGGGAGCTGACCCGTGGTTACAAAGGGAAGGTTGTTGGAGCTAAGGGATCCTTGGGAGTTACCGTTACTGTTTTGAATGACGGTGTTGGCTTGAGAGCCACTAAGTCCAGTGAGGAGTGGAGCTGTGTTTGGGTTGATTAAATTGTTGATGCTGTTTGCGTTCACAAGCGGCACTGCGTTATCTACTGGGAAAATGTTGTTGCTGGATTTAGAAAACGGTATCCCATTCACCTCTGTTTGTGCTACTATCCCTGTAACCACACGTGCTGACGGGTGTGACCCGCCTAGCACGTCATGCATAAAGAACTCTAGGATTGGCTCTTGTCCTCCCGCCGCGGGTCCTGGGAGAGGAATTGGTATTGGAGCTTGTGTTGTTACGGCTTGTGGACTACCATCTTCCTCTTTCGGTACCGCGGGGATTTGGCCGCCTGGGACTAATTGTGGCTGAGTTTGAACCTCATCGAGAAGTCGAGCGGATTGGACACTGGAATCTATCAAGAGGAAGAGAAAGATTGTTAGGCGAAGAGCTTTAGCCATTGTTCGTTCTTTTGTTTTGGTATTAGATTTGTGTTTATTTTCTAAGGCTAATGGGTTTGTTTATATAGGAAGCTTGGAAAATGACGAAATGATGGAGTGGAGTTGTTATTGTTGTCGTTGCTTTCTTATACTCTAGTTGATTAATGGATTTAACTAAACCTCTAGTTTTATTAATTTTAATTTGCTACTTACTCCTCTTGCTTCTAGCCTTGTTGATTTCTTTGACCTATTTCTTTCTTTCTATTTATTCGTTAGGAATTAGAAGAGATCATGTTGAGAAATGAAGTGGAAGAGATCTTAATTACCCATGTTTACCCCACACACACACACAAACAAAAAATTAGCCATGTTTCATACATAAGTAACATAATTATATTTTGATTCCCGGTTTGGTAAAATATGCAGTTCCTTATAATTTACCAATCACAAAATTATACAATATCACTCTATTTTGTGATTTCAGAAATTTATTGGAAGAAAAATGTTGTCATTCTATATATATATATATATTTTTATTTAAGTTAGTTCAATTTATTGTAACCATTTTTCTTTAATAAGACCGTCTTGTATTGTTATTATTTGGGCTTAATCTAATAATATTGGGCCACTATTGTTGTAAATCCAAAAGTTAGGCCCATGTTGAATCTCCGCCGAGCAGAGGAACACCACTTCCCTCGTCGAGCTTTGGAGCTATGGCGGTAATTCATAATTAGCTGAGCTCTAGGGTTTATTCTTTCCCTTCTTCACCATAATCTGACAAATCCATAGCTGCAAATGCTCTAGGAGTTCACCTAAACCATCCTAAAGTCCTCCCAGTTTTCCAAAACCCTAGCTCTTCCTGCTGTTACTAGTGTCTCGAGATGTATCTGTACAGTCTTACTCTGCAGCAGGCGACCGGAATCGTCTGCGCCATCAATGGGAACTTCTCCGGCGGGAAGACACAGGAGATTGCGGTAGCTCGTGGGAAGATTCTGGATCTTCTCCGTCCGGACGAGAACGGTAAGATCCAGACAATACACTCTGTGGAAGTATTCGGTGCAATTAGATCTTTAGCTCAGTTTAGGTTGACTGGTGCGCAAAAGGATG